GGCCTGCACCAAGCCGCCAACGCCGCTGCCACCAGCTGCCCCCCCCATGAGGCCACCCAAATCCAGCAGCTGCTGCTGCCTGCCAGGCGTGAGGCCAGGCGCGCCGGCCTGCACCAAGCCGCCAACGCTGCTGCCGCCAGCTGCACCCCCCATGAGGCCACCCAAATTCATGAGCTGCTGCTGCCTGCCAGGCGTGAGGCCAGGTGCGCCGGCCTGCGCCAAGCCGCCAACGCTGCTGCCGCCAGCTGCCCCCCCCCCATGAGGCCCCCCAAATTCATGAGCTGCTGCTGCCTGCCAGGCGTGAGGCCAGGCGCGCCGGCCTGCGCCAAGCCGCCAGCGCTGCTGCCGCCAGCTGCTCCCCCCATGAGGCCACCCAAGTCCAGCCGCTGCTGCTGCCTGCCAGGCGTGAGGCCAGGCGCGCCGGCCTGCGCCAAGCCGCCAACACCGCTGCCGCCAGCTGCCCCCCCCATGAGGCCACCAAAGTCCAGCCGCTGCTGCTGCCTGCCAGGCGTGAGGCCAGGCGCGCCGGCCTGCGCCAAGCCGCCAACGCCGCTGCCGCCAGCTGCCCCCCCCATGAGGCCACCCAAGTCCTGTGAGGCTTGCGCCAACTGCACCGCCCTTTGTTGCTGGACCAGGAAGTGCTGAAGGATCACAGTTTGCTGGACTGGTAGCATGGCCATCTGCTGCTGAATGCTGATGAGGCAGTCCAATGCAACTGGCGGTTTCATTCGTGCAATGGCCTGCATGATGATGACCGGCAGGATGCAACCGTTAAAATTTACCCTACCATTATCTGTCCACTTAGGTAAAGCGGTATGCAGCGACTAGGAAATCCAATGAGCACCGAAAAGATCTCACCCCTGTAGCCATGGCCTTTTCTTAGGCAGCACGTAGAAACTGCCACTCTGGGATATTCCGCAAGCGGTGAACCAAGGGGTTCTCCGCTGCAGTGTCCGCCAGCTCGAGAGAATCTTGCACCGCGCAGCCACTTATGAACTCCATGGCCTCTAGGTTGAAGGACGCAGACGGCAGCTTCTCCTTGGCACCTGCGGACATGCTGCCCACATGCTCACATAGCTTGGGCAGGAAGAGAAGATGGCCACCTTAAGCGGCTCCAGCAAGGCAGGTGATATTTCTAGCATGAAGTGCTGTGCCCAGTAGGCAGTCTTCAGCTTGTCCGGCGTGCAACAGTCGAAACCCGCAAGCATCAGTAATCCATCGTATGGGACAGGCATGAGGTATGACTCCACGAGTGCACTGCCCTCCTGCCAGTGGCCCATGCGCTGAGCTGTCTCTCGTGACGCCCTGCATGCAAAAAGGAAGCTCAGGGATTAATTGATGTTTACTCCAGAACTGCTTCATTGCCTCGAATGCCTACCCTGCTGCATCCAGAGCCTGGGTTCCTCCCACACGGAACACATGAGTCCTCTTCCGTGTGATGATCTCCATGCACCGCATGATGTCCTTCACCATGTCATGCTGCTGCGTGTAGTTGATTGCCTTGTTGGTCGTCATGGCGCGCAGCAGCACACATGTCAGCCTACATGCATGGAAAAAGCCTATTAAGGATACCTCAACTGAAAAGTGCAAAGTCACTTCTAATCTTACCACTCCTCCTCATCCAATGGGTTTGGATAGTTCTTGCCCTCCATCGTGAAGCGGATGTACAGGTACTCCATGGTACAGCTGCTCCATGTAACGCTGCTGCGTGAGCATGATGTGTGGTTGTGGCGGTCCTGGATGACCTCCATGCCGAGGTAGTAGCGCACCTCTCCAAGGTCTCATACTGCAAAGCAACCAGCTATGGCCGCCTTGGCGGCCGCGACCAACTGCAGGTTGTCTGCCGCCACCAGCATGTCATCAACATGCACGAGCACATAGATTGAGCCGTCGGACTACCACAGACCTCCTGAATACGTGTAACGGCTAATGTCTCCTTAGTCGTGTCTGCTAGGTCCCAGTGAGATAGCGTCTCACCAACAGGTTATGAGCCCCGGGTAACGGTTCCCGGCGGTTCATATAGTTGCTTTTAGCTTGAGCATTGAGGCTCGCTAGGCAACCAACATGGGAAAGGGGTGTAAGACCGTCCTCCTAGCGGACAGGTCTAACTACTCACAGTGGCTAGGAGACTTCAGTGATTTCCTCGCTACATCCAAGTTGAGGAGCTATATGACCAACCCGTCGCCTCCGGGCCGCAACACACAAGATGCCCTGGAGGAAGATGCACAGGCGCTTGGCTACCTGCGTCTGTCCTGCGAACTGCCCGTAAAGCAGTTGCTCAGGAATTGCCAGACTACTCTCGCCACCAAGCAGCTCTTACAGCAATAGTTCCGTTCTGTGTCACAGGCCCGGCTGAGCCTGTTGGAGCCGCAGAAGCAGCTGAGCATGTGTGATGGGGAGACGACCTCTGATTTCATTCAGCAGGCAGAGCAGCTTCACAGTGACATAATTTCGGCAGGCGGCCAGTGGGAAGAGGGTGCAATGCGTCATGCCATTCTCCATGGCTGTAGCAGCTGACCGCTGAAAAGGTCTCTCGAGTTGCTGGCGGTCGTGCTCTGCGTGTATTTACAGCACCGTACTGTGTACCGGCTGCTACAACGGCCTGCCGCCTCAGTACACCATCACTGTCGAGTTCACGATGTATTTGCCCAACTTGACGACCCCGCAGCTCGTGTTCATGCTGTGGGAGAAGGAGAACAACCTAAAGGCCCAAGCAGTCAAGACCGACCTGGTTGGAGCTGTTGGCCCTGGTCCACGGTGCGCCTCAGGCGCTGTGGGGGCCAACGACATCTGCCGCTACTGTGGACAGCCTGGGCACTACATCCGCGAGTGCCCCCTTAAGCTGGCGGACGAGTCCGTAGGTCTCTACCGCAGCAATGCGTTTGAGCAGCCATGTAGTACCGGTGCCGGCAGCAGTGGCACCGGCAACCGCCATTGTGATGGCGGCGGTGGAGGCACCAGCAGCGGCAATAACAGCGGGGGTGACAGGACGTGTTAACGCAGCCATGTTAGATGCGGCAACGGCCACTGCAGCGGCAGCAACACTGCAGGCGGAAGCAGTGGTGGCGGTGGTGGTGGAAGGAGCTCACGCCAGAACCGTGCCACGGTGCTGGTCGTTGATGGCAGTGGTAGCAGTTCACGTGTTGTCCTAGACTCTGGTTCGCCTTACCACCTTACAGGTGACCGCTCGCTGTTGCATAATTACATTCCTGCTGGCGTGCCCAAGCAAATCAAGTGGGGGAACAACCAGCTAGCCGATGTCATGGGAACAGGGCAGCTGCTCCTATGGACACACGATGGAGAATCCGTCTGGCTGTGCAACGTGCTACATGTCCCCAGCTCGGGACTCACCCTCATGTCTGTCGACCTTCTCGTGACACGCGGCTGCTCAGTCACGTTCAGCACGGACAAGACGGGCCGCCGGTTCTCGCGCGTAGGCCTGCCGCACAGTGGTTCATCTATCACCATGTGGAGCAAGCATGGGCATTACATCATGGACGTGGACCTGCTGGCGCCGACCAAACGCGCCATCAGTGTGCTCAGTGCTGCGGAAGACAGAGCCGGCGGAGGTAGCAGTGCTGGCGGAAGTACTGCCGGCGCCACCATCAGTGACGCCAATCAGACCAGCCGAACATCGGCGCCAGCAGCAGTGACGCCGGCAGAGACCAGCCGAACACCGGCGCCAGCAGCAGTGATGCCAGCGGAGACCAGCCGAACGGTGCCAGCAACGGCCAAGGGCAACTGGGCGCCATTGAGTGCTCAGTCGCCGAACTCGCAGCAGTGCAGCACCTGCACCACCAGTTCGGCCACCTTGGTTACCAGGCGCTGGAGCAGCTTATCATCAAGCAGCTGGTGCATGGACCACGGGTCATTCCTGCAGCGCTGTGGCAGGCGGCAGAGGGCATCTGTGAAGACTACAGCTACAGGCCATGTCAGCCGCAGCAACCAGCCTCAGCATGCACTGGAGGTCGTGCACTCTGACCTGTGCGGGCCCATGCCGACCACGGGCCGAGGAGGGGCTCGCTACTTGCTAACACTGCTGACGGTGCCTCCAGTCTGTCTGCCGTTCGCATGCTGGTTAGCAAGAACCAAGTGGGTGAAGTGCTGCAGGACATGGTGACACAGCTGGAGGCTCACCACCCAAACCGTGCACGGGTACGCACACTTCATAGTGATAACGGTGGTGAGTATGTCGCCGAGCAACTGGAACAGTGGCTACACCAGCGCGGCACTGTGCACACCCACTCGGCGCCGTGCACACCGGAGCAGAACGGAGCAGTGGAGCGGCTCAATCACACGCTTCTCAACCGTGTACAGGCTATGCTGTACGATGCCGTGCTTCCGGACAGCTATTGGCCGGAGGCTGTGCTCTATGCCAACCTCCTGCGCAATGTTTCCCCCTCTCTGGGCCGGGAGGCCACACCGTGGGCAGCTTATCATGGTGTCACCCCCGACGTCAGCCACCTGCACACCTTCGGCTGCCTGGCCTACGTCCGCATCCCAACCAGCCAGCAGGATAAGCTCGGTCCCCACATGAGGGCGGGAACCTACCTTGGACTGGAGTGCGGCACGGTCCCTGACGAGGACACGGTCCTCGTCGATGGCAAGGTGACTGTTACCAGCAACGTCACCTTCGATGACGACCACCGCGGCCTGGCGTCTCAACGGGCGGGCACCCCCTTCGGCACCAGCCCCGCCCATCCTGGCGGCAGCGACCCCGTCGGCGGCTCTACACAGCCCGCCACACCGCCGCCTCCAGTGGATGCCCCGCCCCCAGTGAACCCAGCACCCCCCCTTCGCCCCAACACACGCAGTCAACGGCAACCGCTACACCCACCGCTGGCCCCGGTCTGCCCAGCCAACAACAGCAGCGGCGGCGGCGGAGATTTGGGTAGTCCACCACTGCTTAACAAAGCGTCGGGTAGCACCGATCATGCTGAGTTTAACATGCCCGACGGCAGTGCAGACGGCGGAGGCAACAGCGCGGTGCAGGAGCCGTGCAATTATGAGGAAGCGGTGGTGAGTCCGCAAGCTGACAAGTGGAAGACTTCAATGGATGACGAGATCCTGCCGCAGCTTTCCAACAAGACATGGGAGTTGGGCACGCCGCCGCCTGGCACTCGCATCTTGGACTGCCGCTGGGTTTACAAGATCAAACAGGAGCCTGGCAGTGAGGTACACTATAAGTCACGCTTGGTGGTGAAGGGCTTCGAACAGAGAGCTGTTTGCGCCCACCACGTGTGCAGCCTCCCTGCGGGCACTTCTAGCTGTGGCAGCGGCCAGGGGTATGACGGTCCATCAGATGGACGTCAAAACGGCTTTCTTGAACGGCGACCTGGCGGAGGAGCTGTGGATGCGACAGCCACCAGGTTACAGCAACGGCGACCCGATGCAGGCGTGCCGGCTGTTGAAGTCCGTCTACGGCCTCAAGCAAGCCGTTT